TTTGAGAGGGAATCAAAACATTTACAACCAAGTGGTCAGTAGTTCAATCCTCACCACCTGATTCTTCATATTTGAGTTGAATTTCATTACAAGGTAGTACAAATACACCCATTACATATAGAGATTAATTTTATATATATATATATAGCATATAACAAAAAGAAGTGGGTCTGAAACACAAATTATCTGCAACAAAAAGATTCGTAGCAGATACATAGTTTTCATTTTATAATAAATAAAAAATTATATAATAAATATAGAGTGCTAATATACCTTCCAAAAAGTGACAGGGCAAAATAAAAATTCAGACAAAACATATACAAACCTGGTATCTTTGTTTTCTCATTTTAATATCTTGCATCTGTCTCAAATAGGTACTCTCCATTTCCTTGCTATAGGTTTCTCCTGCATGATGAAATTCTGAATCCCATGACAAAGAAAACAACAAAGAGAAATAATTGCATTTTACTATCCATCAATGGAACACGAGTGGCATCCACTTGAACTTTATTACTGGACAATTTTATTTGTTATATCACCATTCAATTACTACCCTAAATAGAAGAGTTTATTGAATCTTGGGTTTGTAAAGATCCTTCATGTCTCAGAAGTGGATGCTCTAGCAGATTTATTCAGCAGTAATATACAATTTACCTACCAGATTAACAATCTTGTGGTAATATGGTTAGGTAGCTTTTAGAAACAGTTATTCATATGATAATCATATTACTTAGTGATGTTACAGTCAAATATTCCCAGAGGTGGCTTTTCCAACTGTTGTCCCAAGACTCCCCTTCTGGCATGCTAAAAAAAAGTAATATAAAAAATCATTCTTGTTCCTTTACCTCACTTCTTAAGCTTTTGCAAGATTTAGTTCACAACAATTCCCATGCTGAGGATTTAGGGGATCATTTACAGACCATCAAGGCACTAGTAAAAGCCCATTTTACTTTCTTCCTGCTGCTAATTTTATCCTTGTTCTTGTTCTCCCATATGAACCCTAATTGGGTGCTTGAATTTGTCACCAACGTCTTTCTTTTATTTACATAAATTATTGATTGAAAAGTTGTATTGGCCACTTACAATATCCCCAAATGTTTCTTAAAGAAAGGATAAAAAGACTAATAAGCAGTTACACATTACAAGAGGAAAAGCGACAGCAATAATGAATGTATGTAGAAATCTGTAAGGATCCTGCAAGAAAATTACAAAACAAATACCAGCAGCGCAATAATACAGCACACAACAACTTGTAATGGAATTTAATCAAGTGTGGGATATACGTATAACAACAACTCCACAATTAGTACAGAGACACACTCTCAAATGGTGATACCAACACTCTAAGACAATTTCGAGAGTGTCTTAGTTCTCTCCTCTACTCACTCCTTACTTCCTGAATACCCTCCACACTACCCAAACCGTTCCTCATAAGGTCCCCCCCACACACCTCACACTTCCCACACACCACTCTAACCAACTACAATATTGTTACCCTCCATCGCTATTGAGTGCCACGTCAATAACAGCCTCTGCCACGTCATTCCTTGGCTGAACCTTTGATACTCTACTAGCGCGCCTTTTGTATGTTTTTATGGGCTTCGTTACAATACTGCCCCCTAAAGCTTTCACCTTGTCCTCAAGGTGAAACTCGGGAAAATGTAACAAAATAGAGGAAGCCAACTCCCAAGAATTCTCAAATGTAGGCATATTCTCCCATTGAATTAGGACCTCTTGTAAACCAGCAGTGTTGAGGCGAAACTGCAGAACTGCAGCAGGGACAACAGCAAGCTCCAATTGATCAGTCAACATAGGCGGTAATGGTTGAATCACTGAAGATGGGTGGACCGCAGATTTCAACAAGGAAGCATGAAAAACAGGATGGACCTTAGAGTCCAAGGGAAGCTCCAACTTGTAAGCAGTAAGTCCAATCCGCTCAAGCACCTGAAACTCAACATCGCGTCGTTTGAAATCAGCAAACTTCTTATAACGAGCTTGAGCTTTCGCCAAATTCTGCTGTAACTCAAGCAAAACATGATCACGATCCAGGAGTAATTGGTCAACGGCAGCCACTCTAGATGGGTGATTTCCACCACGGAAAAGTATAGGAGGGTCCCGACCATATAAAGCTTTAAAAGGCGTCATACCAGCTGAACCATGGTATTTGGTATTAAGCCAAAATTCTGCCCAATGAAGCCACTTGGACCAGTGGTGCGGCTGAGGAGCACAAAAGCACCGAAGATAAGTTTCTACACATTTGTTAGTCGCTTCTGTCTGCCCATTAGACTGCGGATGGTAGGCAGAAGTAAACTTCAAGGACGTACCAGCCTGACGAAAAAGTTCACCCCAAAAAGAACTAAGAAACAATCGGTCCCGATCTGAAACAATAGAGACAGGGAACCCATGTAAGCGCACCACCTCCTTAATAAACAACTTAGCCACATCCTTAGGATTAAAAGGATGCCGAAGGAGAAGGAAATGAGAATACTTGGTAAGGCGATCGATCACAACCAATATAGTATCAAAGCCATTAGAAACAGGAAGCCCCCCAATAAAATCCATAGCTATATCATCCCAAACTTGAGTGGGAATGGGCAAAGGCTGCAGCAAACCTGCAGGGGCTAAGGACTGAATTTTGTTGCGTTGACAAATATCACAAGCTGACACATACGCATGAATATCTCTACGCATACCTTCCCAAAAGACACACCCACTAATTCTCTTGTAAGTACGAAAAAAACCAGAATGCCCACCAATTACCGAGTCATGAAATTCATGAAGAATTTTGGGAATCCAAAGAGAACCCTTAGCCAAGACTAAGCGATTTTTGTAAAACAGCCGGCCCCCTTGAAGAGTAAACCCGTCATGAGCAGAACCATCCACCAATAAATCTTGCAGAATTTTTCCCATTCGGTAATCCTGCTGCAGCTCTTGATGGACATCGTCCCAACCAGAAAACTGCACCTGCGTAATAGCAGTCAAACACATTTGACGGGATAACCCGTCTGCGGCAGAATTCTCCTTTCCAGGCCGAAATTAAATCTCAAAATCGAACCCAAACAACTTGGAGACCCATTTCTGCTGATCCTCATTAAGCAATCGCTGCTCGTTTAAGAAGCGTAAGCTGCGTTGGTCTGTGCGAATGATAAAATGGCGTCCCATCAAATAATGCCGCCATTTGGTAACAGCAAACACCACAGCCATGAGTTCTTTTTCATAAACAGACTTAACTAAAGCCCGGGGCGAGAAACCGCGACTGAGAAATGCAATTGGCCTGCCATCTTGCATTAGAACCGCGCCAATACCCTTGCCGGAAGCATCTGTTTCCACTACAAACACCTTATCAAAATCCGGTAAAGCCAGCACCGGAACCGTCGTCATAGCTGTCTTTAAGGAATCAAAAGCTGATTGAGCATCATCATTCCAAAGAAACCCATCTTTTTTCAACAATGAAGTCAGAGGCCGAGCTATTTTGCCATAATCGCGAACAAATTTGCGATAATAACCTGTAAGTCCCAAGAACCCACGCAACCCTTTGATATTTTTAGGAACAGGCCAAATGAGCATAGCTTCTATTTTTGCAGGATCCGCCTTAACCCCAAAAGCCGTAACAATATGACCAAGGTATTCAATCTGAGTCTGAGCAAAAACACATTTTTTCTTGTTTAAAAATAACTGGTGAAGCTGCAAAACTTGGAGCACATTTCGCAGATGCTGGAGATGCGTAGGCATGTCTCTACTGTAAATTAAAATATCGTCAAAAAAAACAAGAGCGAATTTACGAAGAAAAGGCCGCAATACCTCATTCATCAATGCCTGAAAGGTAGAAGGGCCATTACAAACCCCCAAAGGCATCACAACATACTCGTAATGGCCCTCATGAGTGCGAAATGCAGTCTTCGGAATATCCTCTTCACGCATACGAATTTGGTGGTAGCCTGACTTCAGATCAAGTTTAGAAAAAACCTGAGCTCCCCCTATTTCATCCAGAAGTTCGTCAATTGCAGGAATTGGGAATTTATTTGGAATTGTAATTTTATTCAGGGCCCTGTAGTCTACACAAACGCGCCATCCACCATCTTTCTTCTTCACCAGAATAATGGGACTTGAGTAGGGGCTAGTGCTTGGCCGAATGTGACCCATAGCTAACAATTCAGCAATGATTTTTTCAATTTCATTTTTTTGATGATGGGGGTATTTATAAGGTCGAGAATTAGGAATAACAGCCCCGGGTAAAAGCTCAATGGCGTGGTCTTGAACTCTAGGAGGCGGTACCCCTGTAGGCGCTTCAAGGACAGCTGCATACTCCATCAGTAATTCGGATAACTCAGCACATTCAGGGTCTTTGAAGTCTGCACGACTAGGACCCTTGATATCCTTCTGCGAAATCAGGAACCCTTCATCTTCACTCTGAATTGTTTTAAGCATGGACTTCAAGGATACCACTGATTTAGACAGGGAGGGATCACCCTGTATTAACACCTCTGTTCCATCTCTATCGAACCGCACAGTCAACTCTCGAAAGTTAGCCTTGATTTCCCCCAAAGTACGTAGCCAATCCAGCCCCAAGACCACATCCACTCCTCCAAGATCAAAAGGGAAGAGATCTTGCCGAACCTCCACCCCTGGCAGTTGAAGGATGACGTCTTTGCACACGCCTTGACAGTGTATCTTATGTCCCTCCCCGACCTCTACCGTATAACACGGAGTAGGGGCGATTTCCAGCACCAATTCGTTAACCACAGCCCGACCAATGAAATTACTCGAAGCCCCACAATCTACCAAAACCACAACTCGTCTTCCATTAATCGATCCCCAGAGTTTCAGAGCTTGATTCGACGTCAGCCCCATGATACTGTGAATCGACAATTTCAGATCTTTGTCGTCCACTTCTGACATCGCAACTCAACAATCTGCCTCGAACTCGTCAGGATCCCCTTCGTCTTCCTCTAACAGTAAGATATGGAATTGTTTGTTCTTGCACTTGTGTCCCCGAAAAAATTTCTCTGTACAAGTGAAACACTCTCCCTTAGCCATCTTATCTTCCCAAACATCCTGCGGAATCCGACGAGAAGAGGTTCTACTCGTGCTCATGGTGCTACCACTCGTACGACTTAGGTTAGAATTCTGATTTGGGGTAGAAGTGGGAGTTGACGTCGTACGCATCACATTGGAGATTGTATTGGTTTTAGTCTCTGTTGGGCTCCGACTAGAGTATTGGGCCTTATAAGTTGACCCAATATTACTAGATTTTCCGTTATACCAGCTTCCATCTCTCCCAAGTGCATAGATGACATTTCGTTCTTCAATATATTGGGCCAAATCCATTAAATCCGTTAAAGGGGTATCCCTTCCACGAATGTTCAGCTCCACTACAATTTCTTCACGCAGCCCATTAAGCCAAATATCCCTCAACATGTTACCATCCGGATAGCCCAAAGGCCCAGCTATTTTTTCAAACTCCTCCCTGTACTCTTTCACGCTACCCGTCTGTTTCAGCTTCAGCAAAGGTGCAAATGTGCAATTCGCATCCATGCCCTGAAAACGACGAAGAACATGAGCTCTGAATTGAACCCAGGTAGCCCCCGGATTTTGACTTTCCCACCATTGAAACCAATTGAGCGCCTTCCCTTCCAACACAATTAAAACAGATGCCAGCTTGTCTTCTTCCGGAATGCCATTAATGGAGAAATAGCGTTCAACTCGATGAACCCATCTGTAAGCATCAGTTCCATCAAATAACAGTAATTCCAATCTTCTTCCTTGCATTTCCACCCCTCCATTTGCAGTACCTGTTCCGCCGTTTCCAACTCCACCACCTGTTCCACTTCCACCATTTCCACCACCATTGACGTCCCCATTACCATCGCGATCCAAAATTGCCCCACGGAACAACCTGCGCAATTCCTCTTGCGCTGCTTCCGATTGACGAAAGCGAGATTCCATACTTTCCTCTGCACGACGAGCACGTTCCTCGCTGGCATTAAGCCACTGTGCCAGACGTTCCTCCATTGCAGCCAAACGATTCTCCATTAGCCTAGTCAGTACCATTCAAAGCTCCCAGCATCGGGAGCTCTAATACCAATTGTAAGGATCCTGCAAGAAAATTACGAAACAAATACCAGCAGCGCAATAATACAGCACACAACAACTTGTAATGGAATTTAATCAAGTGTGGGATATACGTATAACAACAACTCCACAATTAGTACAGAGACACACTCTCAAATGGTGATACCAACACTCTAAGACAATTTCGAGAGTGTCTTAGTTCTCTCCTCTACTCACTCCTTACTTCCTGAATACCCTCCACACTACCCAAACCGTTCCTCATAAGGTCCCCCCCACACACCTCACACTTCCCACACACCACTCTAACCAACTACAATATTGTTACCCTCCATCGCTATTGAGTGCCACGTCAATAACAGCCTCTGCCACGTCATTCCTTGGCTAAACCTTTGATACTCTACTAGCGCGCCTTTTGTATGTTTTTATGGGCTTCGTTACAAAATCATAAATCATAATATTTTCATCCTTGCAAGAAATATTTTGCCCAAGATAAGACAGGAGGATTTCAAAAAACATCACCACAAAAAAAAAATAAAAGGAATTAAGAAATTCCAAATAAGGGGATGAACCTACTCTGGGCATATGGCTGATGACTGGCAAGTATTGAACTTTTATTTTCATAAAGTCTATCAAAGTGCTCTGGAAACTTATAATCTGTGACATCAACAGATGCAATTGCACCAGAACCATCACCATTTAATAATGAATCCACAAAGTCAGACCTATGCTCTTCCTCATTGTCTTCTAGCCTGGTTAATGATTCCCCTGTAAGTTTTGAAATGTCATTTTCTAATTTCATATATAAAGGGTTAAAGGATTTACACCGATAACAAGACAGCTGCAGTAAAGAATGGCAGAAATCAAAGTTTTCATTTAATAAAATTTATAAATAAGTAAAAAAGATGACCTTCCATCCACTTCATAACAAGTGAAGCATAAGGCTCTGTAATTGGGAGATGAACTGGGATATCAGGAAACAGTTGGAACAATGCATATGCTGCCACTTTATTCTGTGCATCCTGCAATCAAGTAAAAACTGTAAAAATTGTATGGACAGGAAACCAGAATTTGCTCCCATATCATTTTAACATAAATGACAAAACTAGCATGCATGGACTGAACTCATACTGCACCTTAGAAAAAGGTATAAAGATCTGAAGCGTTGTTCAGAAGATTTTACATAGATATGCAATGATCAACTACCCTAATTACTTTTTCTTAGCTTTCATATTTCGGTGAGAAAGTGAAGGAAACTGATAAAATGTAGAGAGACAAGCCAAGAGTGTTCTCTGAAATATGTGCAATTTCTATTCATTAAACAAATTCAAGATAGAGTTCTCATAGTTATAGTCAGGTAAAACAGTCGGAGACAACTGTCTGTCTTAATTGAATCCTAGGGTATTTGTAAGTCTGCAACAACAAACTCTGATATAAGCAGAACAGACTAAACTAACTAATTCTGTTACTTAGAAACAGAAGCTCAGAACTAATGCACCGGTGACATTCTCCAACACTTTTCTATTTGAGTCATGAAGAACTACGCTTAAGCCAAAATATGCAAGCAAAATATACTGCAAGCCATTCAGACAAAGGATATGACGTTTATGCCAACAACATCAATATCAACAACAACAACACCTTTATCCCAAACTAGTTGGGATCGGTGGTAGAAGAATCCAAATGAAAAGTACAAAAAGATTGAGAAAAAAAAAAAGAAAAAAAAAATTAAAAATATATATATGACATTTATGCCAAAAGAGAGAAATTTGGGCACATTAGGGCCTGGTCCGAGATTGTGAAATTTTAAATCCCTCCCCCAAATTGATACAACATCTTTAACGACTTGTAGCCATGGTTGAAAAAACCACACCGGACTGGCCGGAAAAAAAATGATAACAAAGAACACTGTTTTATGTAATGAGTAAGTGAATATCACCGCAAGCCCCCATTTTTATTTATATTAGTAAGTAGACTATGCTGCCCAAAAGCCTTAGCTAAAGGGACACCAAGTACGTTTCAGGACTATTTGATAAGCCTTATTGTCAATCATGACAAACTGTTGAATAATCGTGCTGAATATCCCAAACACACTTGTAGGGACTATTTCAGGCAATAAAGAATGACGTATTCAGCAAACTAAGCTTGACACTCTTTAAGCAACCAAGCCAGGTAATTGGCAAGCTCCCTAGAAAGAAAGGCAATTTAATATCAAACTAGTAGAGTTGCTAACAGTGGTTGAAGGAACATGTTAGGTTCTGTTACACTTATAGTTAGAACGGGATCCAATTCTCCTAACAAGTTCTGACTCATCTAACTGCATCACAGTTAGGTAGTTAGCCGACAATTAAACTGACAGCTAGGTTCATACAAGTAATATATGTGAATTACTATGACATTACAAGTTAAGCCACGTGTGAATTACTCACAAAAACTATGTCATACAAAGTATAATAGAATGCAGTACAAGAGTACAGCTATAGTACACTATAATATAAGCTCCTATTTCTATTTTCTACAGTAACTAATCTCGGTTATTCAACAAAAGATCTTAAGCTCTGTTTTTATTTCCACAAGCTTTCCAACATTGGTGGTTCAAGCTTAATAAATGAATTCACCATTTCTCTTTGATAGGTTAAGAAAAATTTAAACGAAATGCCCATGAAATCCAGTCCACTCGACCTGGATCTCTAAACATGCATGTGATCTTGCTGGAACTGCTAAATTTGGAGTAGGCTCCTCCAGATTTTTGGGATATGCATGTCTGCCCTAAAACTTGAAGCAATTTTGATAGATAAGCTATTCGGGCTTTTGTAGAAGTAAATGGGATAAAGCCTTATTGATGAGTGCTCTTTATGCAACTATGACAGTACATGGTTAGGGTTAGGGGATAATACACATATTTGAGAAGGTTATGTACTAACATTTGTTAAGAGTTTTATAGTACTGAGGGCTTCACATTGTGTTAGTTTTATATTGATGGTTAGACGACTAAACAGGATGTTTTATCTACCTTCCTTTGCTCTCTCTTTCTCTGACACTCACAAATACTAGCATAATTATATATGTTTGAAATTTCTTGTGCTTCATTCAAAAAAATAGCCTACAGCAAATGAAACATCATGACCAATATGCTTATAAATATTGGCATCCAAAAGTACAAAGTTCAATTTAATTGGCCCTCTAAAATATTCCCTGGGCAACCCACTTCATAAGCAAATAATAGGAAAGAAGAAGGTGCTTGACAAAATAAGTTGTTATCCCACTCAAGCACCTACAAAAATAACCTAGTAAGTCATTTTCCAATTTTACTGTCAATTGATTACAGAGATACTTCAGCAGGAGCACGGAGATGGCAAGCATAAGAATGATTCACCTCAGCAGATTCAAAGATTTCACTCTGATCTGGAAGCTGAAGTGTGACCAGCCCCCCAGCTTTTCGGTTCTTGCCCCTCCCACTAGCTTTACGCAATATGCTTACAGTATAGGAGAAACACTTTCCCCTGCCAAGAATTTTAATGAATTTTGGTGCTTCCCACCCTGATTTCTGGCATAGTTGATGAAGAACAGCCTTCGGAATCTTTAGAGGGTCCCCCTATAGCAAGATATATATGCACATTGTTATCCACCCAATGCTCAGAAACAAACGACAGACACATTATAATTTCTTATTTTTATAAAAGAAGAAATTCATTGAGACAGAGAAACAATTACAAAGAGGAGGATAAGGAATCCTTCTAAACAAAAGTACAAAGAACGGAGAAAATCAACGGAGCAAAGCTGCCCGATCCCTCACCATATCTGTTAGTGAAACCATGATAAAAAGGCCATATGCTTTACACCAAATAGAAGTCAAACGCCTAATCTTATCCCAATTTGAGTGCTTCGAATTCAAATACAGGTTTGGTGGCATTTATTATTTTGCAAAACTTGAAAAACGTTTTAAAAAAAAAACTGCAAGAAAGTAAACAACATAAGCAAATCCATGATACATCAATGAAAATTTTCCTTCCACATTCCTTGATATCGTTTCAACAAGGCATAAAACATTTTCATATCCATCAATGACCAACCAAAGCAATTTAATAGTTGTAACAAACATTTGTATTTGTCCTATCGCTGTCAGAATGTGACTTTTCATCTTTTCAAAAATAACATAAAAATGTACTGCAACTTTCTATCTCTCTTTCTTCTACTTACTCACATTTTCCCACTTTCTCTCTGATGGTATCAAAGCTCTCTTTCTGAGGGCCTGATCCATCTTGTCCATATATGTCTACCGTTGTAACACCTTCTGCAATGGAGAACAAGACTTCGATGCTCTTCCAGCATCAGATCTCAGTGAAGCTTACATAATCGAATTTTTTGTTGTGGAAGCAGATCATTGAACTGGTAATCAAATCTCATGATCTGCATCATTTTCTTGTCAATCCTAATATTCCAACACAATCTGTGACTGAGGAGGATTGTGTTAATCAACAAGTCAATTCTGCATATTCAGAATGGGAATGACAAGATCAATTGCTTCCAGAGGTGGAAAAGCGGGCTGCCCGCCCTGCCATCAACCTGCCTACACAAGAGTCAGCCTGCCCCGCCCCGCCCCGCCCCGCCTATTTTTTCTCTCTTCCCCTTTTTATTTATTTTTATTTATTTATTTATTTATTTTTCTCTCTTTCCCTTTTTTGATAATAATCTCTCTCTCTGCCATTGACCCTCGATCTCTCTGTACCTCCTTCTCTCGTACACCTTTTCTTTTCCACAAACACACATGCATTATCTTCTCTCTTCTGTTATCTCTCTAAACTTTGCTTGTGAAGGAATAATAATACGACCACACCAAAGTCCAGAGCCTTGTTTTTATTTAATTGTTTATTTATTTTTCCTTGATCATTGTCATTTTGGAGCTGTTTTGGTTTATCTGTATGTGAGTGCAAAAGTAGATCTTGTTTATGAGAGAAGCCTCGAAAAAAGATTGGTTTTTTATTTTTGTTTTTGTTTTTCTGAGTTGGGGTTTTGCTTGATTTTGAAGACACTCTTCAGGAACCGTGAGGGATGCACACGGGATGTAGAGTCGTTGTTGGTTCTCGCAATAGGAATGTATTGGCAGGCTAGCCCCACTCGGCTTGGCAGGCTGGTAGGCTTGGCGGGCTGGCGAGTTGAAAAACTCAGCCCTCCCCGCCTCGTTTGACAGGCAGGGCGGGCTGAGCCCATTTTGCCAGCTCTAATCGCTTCTCTTTTGGCTTCAATTGACGCTCTCAAAACAAATCGTTCATAAAATCCTTGGAGTAGTTCACTCATACCAAACCTGGGAGAAGATACACAAACACTTTCATGGTATGATGCAAGCTAAGGCTCGACATCTGCGTTTAAATTTTCGAAACATTCGCAAAGAAGGACAAACAATAGCAAAATACCTCCACAAAGCCAAATCTCTCGTAGTATTAGCAATCAAAGATCATATCTTTAATCAAGAATTGATTGATCTAGTGCTCGATGGTTTGCCAGATTAATACGATCCATAACCATTGTTCATTGTCAAAAGGATATTGTTTCTCTTGAAGATCTTGAACCAGAATTGCTAGCACAAGAAGCGAGATTAGAAAAGCATCGTAGTGTCACAATCTCTAATGTTATGTCAATCAACGTTACAAATGAATCTTATTCCCAAATACAGAGTGCAACCTCATCCTCTTCTCTCCTTCGTGGCTTCCATCTTTGTTAGCCTCTGTTTTTGGTACCTCTGAACAAAGCAAGCAAGGCCTTGCACAAATGGAGAAACTAGGCTCTCTATTGCCTCTGCCTTTACTGCTCAAGCACAAAGCGCTCAAGGTAACACAAATACCACACCTGGTGGTGGCTTTCGAGTACATGGAAGGTTTAGAGGTGGTTGTTAAGGCTGAGGGCATGAAAATGCAAGATCTTCTTCCTCCCTGCAATGCCAATTTTGTCGCAAGTTTGGGCATCAAGTAAGTACATGTTGGTACAGGTTTAATGAACACTCCATCCTTCCATCTTCTCCTCTGCAAGAACCAATACAAACACAACCACCACAACCACCTATCTTTGCTCTTCCAGTTAAAAACATACATGGACGACATCTAAAGTATTAAAGGTCAAGTTCTCAAGGCTTCCAGTCACAAAAAGTCTTCAAGCCTTAGTAGCAGCTGCTCAACCATCTTTATCTTAATCTTCCCTTCCTGCACTAGAATGGTTCCCAGATTCTAGCGCGGCACACTATGTGACACCTAATCCAACCAATCTTCGACAAAGCATGGAACTTTTTGGAGCTGACCAAGTGCTGATTGGTAAAGGACAAGGTTTGTCTATCTTTGTAATAGGTTCCAATTGTTTCCATTCACCTCTTGAACCCCACACTCCTTTATTTCTAAACAATTTTCTTCTTGTCCCATCAATTACACAGAATCTAATGAGTGTTAGCCAATTTGCTAGGGATTATGAATTCCATCCATACTCGTGTTAAATCATAGGTCACTCATAAAGTCTTGTCGAAAGGATCTTTGGGCAGTGATGGCCTCTACCGGTTTCATGCTCTCCATTTGCATCAAGGGTCTTCTTCAACCACTAAGATGTCCCCCATCCTCTTTTTCTGCTCATAATATTGTAGCTTTACGTTTTATGATATCAAATAATTTTTCCAATTCCAACAATGTCTCTTGTAATACTCTTTCAAATTCTATAGACAAAACAAACGATGTACTCCCTACAACATATTCACTTTGGCACTATAGAATTGGCCATCCACATCATGAGGCCCTTAGAAATGTACTCAACTCTTGTAATATCAATTTTGTTACTAAAATTGCTCTTGACTTTTGTGTTGCTTCAACATCTTCCACTATTGTTTACAGTGCACCTTTTGATCTTGTATTCAATAATCGTTAGGGACTTGCTCCTGTTAATTCTACACTTTGCTTTACTTATTATGTCACCTTTGTTGATGCTTATTCATGCTTTACATGGATGTATCTTTTAAAATCCAAGTCTAAGACCTTAACCATATTCAAATAGTTATGTAGTATGGATCTTATCCAATTTAAATGTAATAGTAAGGCCTTGCAAACAAATAGGGGAGGTGAGTATTACTGCTTTACTCAATTACAAAAAGACTTAGATATCATTCATAGAATTATTTGCCCCCACACCCATCATCTAAATAGTTTAGTGCAGAGAAAACATAGACAAGCTATTGATATGGGCTTAACTCTCTTAGCACATGCCTCATTACCCTTAAAATTTTGGAATCATGCCAACCTATCATCTATGTACCTTACAAACCATCTACCCACCGCTGCTCTCAATTTTGAAGTTCCTTACACTAAACTATATAATTGAACCCCTTGATACAAACTCTTGAGGCTATTTGGTTGTGATTGTTATCCTTTCTTAAGACCATTTAACACTCACAAACTTGATTTTCACTCAAGGGAATGTCTTTTTTTAGGATACTCACTTGATCATAAAGGATATAAATGCTTCAATCCTGAGGGAAATCTTTACATTTCCAAAGATATTTTTTTTAATGAGCTTCGTTTCCTTTATTCTCTGCTTTTTAATTCCGAACCTTCACCTTCTTCTTCTCCTGCTACTTTTGTTATACCTCTTGTTCCTTCTTTATCTACTTCCTTGCCTACGTCTCTTTGTTCATCAAATTCCCAATCCACCCCTAATAATAGTTCTCACAATCCTCCTACCACTCAGACTTCAAGTCAGTCCCAAGTTCCTTCTCAAGCTTTTCTCCTACTCCTCATAACAACCCTACGCTTAATAGTAACTCCCCAAATGTCTCAAACTATTCCCCTTCTCCCAGTCCTCCTCATTCTAAGTCATTTAAATCCTCTTCATCCTCACACCTTTCCTCAAGTACAGAATATCAACCCTCATCCCCCTATAGCCCTCCTTATCCAACTCATACCACTATCACTAGGTCCAAAACAGCTTAACAACCCTCTATTTTCTTAGCCTAATTGGAAGCTACTTCAGTCAAACAGGCTCTTGGTGTCCCTCAATGGCAGCAAACTATACAGTTCTTCTGTCTAACAACACATGGTCTTTACCTCCTGATCGAAAAGCAATTGGCTATAAAAGGGTCTTTAAAATCAAAGAATAACCAGATGGTTCCATAAATAAATATAAGGCTACATTAGTAGTCAAAGGTTTTCATCAACAAGCAGGCTTTGACTTCACTGAAACTTTCTCACCTCTCGGTAAGCCTATAACAATTCGAGTTCTTCTCACTTTGGCTCTAACCTATGGCTGGACATTACAACAATTAGATGTTAATAATGCTTTCCTCAAAGGAAAGATAAAGGAGGAGGTTTACTTGCAACAAGCACCAGGTTTTGAGTCATCCAATAAATCTTTAGTTTGCAAGCTTCACAAAGCTCTCTATGTACTCAAGCAAGCACCAAGGGCTTGGCTTGAGAAACTTGGCAACTCCCTTATCACTTTGGGGTTCACACCCAGCAAGTGTGATCCCTCTCTTTTCATTCATAAAACTGCCACCTCTTGTACTTTTGTTTTGTTTTATGTTGATGATATTATAGTTACAGGAAATAACTCCTCTTTGATTAAGCAATTGATACATCAACTCCATTCTCAATTTGCTCTTAAACAATTAGGGAATCTTGATTATTTTCTTGGACTTGAAGTGAGGCATCTTCCCTCTGGTTCTCTGTTTCTCTCTCAGTCAAAGTATATTTGGGACCTTCTCTCAAGAGCAAACAAGCTATAAACCAAAGGTATTTCCGCTCCTATGCCTACTAGATGTAGGCTGTCCAAACTTGGAGCAAATTACTATTCTGATCCTACATATTACAGGTCTATTGCTGGGGCTCTTCAATATGCTACATTAACTAGACCTGAGATCAGTTACTCTGTGAACAAAGCTTGTCAATTTATGTAACAGCCCTTAAAGGAACATTGGAAGATTGTAAAGAGGAATCTTGAAGATCTAAAGGGAACCATATCCCATTATCTTTTGCTTTGGACAGCAAATAACTCAAGACCTCTAGCCTTAATAGCCTATTGTGACGCTGACTGAGCTAGTGACCTAGATGATAGAAGGTCAACATCAAGTGCTTGTATCTTTCTTGGTCCTAATCTCATATCATGGTGGTCAAAGAAGCACACTCTTGTTGCTCGTTCTGTCGTTCAAGCGCAGAATATCAAAGCCTTACTGCCAATGCCTCGAAACTTCTTTGGGTTCAGACCTTACTCCATGATTCTAAGCACTATTGCTTCGGCCCATAATCCTGTTTTACACAATAGGACAAAAAATGTGGAGCTTGATTTATTTTTTGTCTAGGAAAAAGTCCTTGATCAAACTCTACAAGTGTGTCATGTTCAAGCCCAAGATCAGATTGTTATACCTTCACAAAGGCGCTTTCAGCAACTCGGTTTGAAGATCTTTGAAACAAACTGTTTTGGATCACTTGCAGATAAACCAAAGACCGAGAGTTTGCGGGGGTGTAATAGTTGTGACATACATTCGTATTTTCTGGTTTGATGTATTTGTCCTATCGCTGTTATTAGTTAGTTACTGTAGTGGTTTGAATGCTGAGTCAGCACTTGTGTTAGCTTTCTTAGGAAGCTGTTTGTCTGAGGTCTATAAATATATAGGCTCTTTCTGTCAGTATGTGACTTTTCATCTTTTAAGAAATAACATAGAAATGTACTGCAACTTTCTATCTCTCTCTCTTCTACTTTCTCGTACTCTCCCACTTTGTCTCTGACAATATGTTTCTTCTCTTCTAACTCTAACGTAGCAAAAATATATAACGGAAATTACGTTTAACATCATTCATCAAGATAGTCATAAAATGTAGCCTACAAACTTACCTTCTTCCAAATGCCATCTAACTTATCCAAATTCTTCTTCTCTGATAGTCTTTTAATTTTTTCTTGTTTCTGTATTTTCAAAACATCAAGAGGTAATATTTCACTAGATAGCACATCATCCATGAAGAAACCACCAAGCTCAATGTCTACAGCCTCTCCTTGAGCAGAATCTTTTTCAACACATACAACTGGTGAGCTGGAGTTAGCAAGATTTTCCTCCATGCTGTGGTGCTCCACATCACTTCCATCAAATGGGGTCCCATCAGAAGGTGAAACAATGACTGAATAACCTTCTGCATCACATGGAGCTTTTTCTTCAAAGCAATCAAAAGGCTCATGACCCGTGGATGCTTTCTCAGATGCAAACTTAGAACCAATTTCATGCTCATGTTGTAAGGCCAAATTGTCATCTGATAATCCTGCTCAATGTATTGTAAGATCACACGAGAAAATTAAATGTAACAAAAAATAGTAGAAAATGATATTCAAATTAACCTAGAGCAGACAACTCTTGCTTTAGTTTCCGGATTATATGGCCTGCCTGCTCCTGACATTTCTTGTCCCCTTTTTGCTTGGCTTTTGTAGCTTCCAACCTTGCAGCAAGATACTCGTTGGCTATAACATCATAAGACCTAGGTTCACAGGGCTATAAAGATGGAAAAGGGAAGATAAACCCATCAGAGTTAAACAATGGTGTATTATCACTACACAATTAATAGAGACCAAGCAAAATGAAGACATTAAACTTTCCAACAAACCGTTCCTTCCCTCTTAAAAATGGAGACCAGTAAGATTATTATTATATACAAGTAATCTCTGAGCTAATCACACTGTCAAGAAAAGTTTGCTATGGAAGAAAACAACTTCATCAGTCAGGCCACTCAAACTCAGAAGTTGCATCAATTCAACATTATTAACAAATGGCTAATAGGAATAGCCACAGAAATTCACAATTGCTTACCGTAGTAATTATAAACCACAGTTCTGCAATAACGAAAGTAATAACAAAGACAACTACATGACTGATAAGAAATCAAAACAAAAAGTGACTTATATCCAAACATGATAAAAACCCAACAGAAAAAGGAAACAAGAACAAAATGAGTACCTTGCAAACAGAAATGTAAAACAACACGCCTAAACTTGAATTTATAATAACCTAACCAGAATAATACTATAATAGTTAAGGTTGAATGAACAGCCAAATATTTATTAATCTTCAAGAAAAAGAGAAATACCTCCTTTGTGGAATTACTTCCATCAAAAATGTCATCTTCCCAAGTCTTAGAATCATCCTGCAAATACCACACCCATCAACGTTGGTAAATTTTCAAAACGAAAGAATACAGCCAGTTTCTTCTAAAATGCCCATTGTTAAGTGAAAGATCAAAGATGATGCAATCAAGTTCTTGAAAATGGAAAAAGGAAAACAATAAATGATTAAACAATACTTGTTCTCACAGTCTTCTGGAATGTGAAATCATGTTTATAATACAGTTCAAGTAAATAACATGAAACAATGTTCAATCACAGGTCAATTCGAATAGAGATGTAGGCATATGTTAGACATGCCTTTTACTCTAAATGCACTTTTTCGTCAACTTCTATCTTTATCTCTCCTTCACTTTCCTAACATGATATTAGAACCTAACCTTAACCCTGTGCTGGATTGTTCACCAAACTCTGACCCTAATCCTAGCTTTTTCTGGGCACATCAATCCCTTTGATGGCACCAGCTAATATCAACAAGACCCCTGCTGCTGTTATTACTCCAAAACAAGGGCTCCAGTTGTGGTTGAAAACTGTTTTTAATCAAGAAATGGTCAATCTCTGCTGAATTAAGGACCACCAGTTTCTAGCACATAAAATGCCAACCAAGTGGTCACAGGCCAGTTCAGGCCCAGCAAAACCCTTTCATGGCACATTTTTCCCAGTCTGACCTGAAACCCACAATAGATTGACAGAACAAGTAATGTTCTTCTTCGCTTCCAGGTAATGCTTGTCAGTGAGAGTGCTCGTTTGTGATGAGAAAATTTAAATTTAATTACTTCCTCAAGTTTACATACGAGGCTCTCCCTTCACACCAAAAGACAATACCTGATAGAAGCAAATGCAAAATGAAGAGGATACCAACCATCTGTATACAGTTATCATAGAATACTATCTGATGGTTAATCTTATTTCCAATCGTACAAGCAACCTAATGCTTTCAGGTTCTCATATGCAGTGAGGTTTGAGCTTAAATTACCTCTTCCTGTTGCTCCACATATTGCCTGATCCAATCTGCTTGAGATGGTTGGTGAGAATCTAAAGTATCGTCATTCCACTGTCTCTTGATTAAAACTGGAGATTTTGGAGCTTCATCCCTACTTGTAATAGATGGATCCACTGAAGGAGTTGAATTGTCCCGTTGATTTGATATAACACCAACAGAACCCACTAACAAAGCAATATATATATATATATATATATACATATATAAATTAATTTCCGAAATACCGAACAGTTTATGAACTTAAAGCTAACCAAACATTATTATATAATCAAGGGTAATACAAAAATACCTTCACTATAATGAAAAGAAGTCCCACTAGAAAACTTCAGTGGAAGTTCATTCCCGGGCAAATTCAAGCATAACCAATCAAGAGCAGATTCAAATGTAGCACCTTCCTACAAATTACAATGAAATAGAGAACAAATTTAAAATATCCACAAAAATTTAAATGGCATAATGTAACCAGGCATTTAAGGAGAGGAGCAACTGGAAGACAAAGGTGTTCACAGATTGGATTAGAGCGGCATTGAGGAAAAAAGTCAACCGATCCAATCTAATCAGTTTTCATTATAATACCATATTATCAATTTGGTTAAAAATGTAAACCTATAAATCAGATTGAATTGGATCAGTTTTCTGGTTTTTTGTTATTAATTTTTTTATAAAAATCTATTTTCATTAAAATACATCAAATACAATTCTAAACTAATTCATCAAAATATACTAAAAATATGTTCAAACAAATTCATCAAAATAAAAATTTAAATTAATTATCAATCAATGGTATATGTCCAAATTAAAAAGAGTGGAATAATTTTAGCTTAAAATATAATAAGAACATTTCCAAATAAATAACTCAACCTTAACATCACTTTTATACCAAACTAGATGGATTTTACCTGCGATAAATTTATACAAAATCAAAAAGAGATTGAGAGACAAGAAATAATAAATAAGAAAATAATACGTATTAAACGACGTTTGGGCTCAAGAAAATTGTACAAAATGTTTTGGAAATTTTGTTTCATTCATGCGACATGAACTTTGTCAATACGCTTTAAATTGTTTTTTCAAACCTTAAAAGGAGTAATAAATAATTTTAGATAAAAACATAAAAAATATGAATTTATTAACCAATATATTATGTTTAAAGAGGGAGGATATTGTAATAATCAATTAGTATTACTACCAATCAATCCATTATGTTGATAACGGTTATATTTATTTTCATCTTTGTATGGTCATGATTCTCTATATTTAATATGAAAGCATTAATATAGAAAATAAATATAATTGTTGATCAATATAACCAATCTAACGATCAAAAGTAATATTAGTAATAACAGTTGTTCCCCATCTTAACAATATATGCATAAAATTTCAATTAGTTTTCATAAATAAATCAAAAAATGGAACTAATCTAATAATTTTTGGGGGTTTTGATTGGGTTAAATATCCATTTGGATGGGGTAGGGTACCTTGAGAGCGGAGAGAGCAAGCTCAATGTGATCATTAGCGAAACCTTCGCAAGAGAGCTTCTCGTAAACAGTTTTCAGCTTCTTTGCTTTCTGAGCCTTGGTTAGGGTATCATCCGTCGCAGGAGTGGGCCGGGCCGAGTTGAGCAAGAGCCGGCGGAGGCGGTTCTCATTTTCGGCCGAAATATGCAACCTCGGAGCAGACGAGGGTGAAGGTTGGGGCTTTGCGTTCTGCTTCTTATTCTTTTTCGGCGGCATCTTTCGCAGCTGTCTCCCGATCAAAGTGTAAGTATAAATAACTCTGTCATTCTTGATTTATAAGATATTTTATTGTTATTTAATTTTTTAAAATTTATTTTTAACAAGACTAATTTTTAGATGAAAATTCCTTAGTAACGGTCTACACAGGTAATGTTCGTTCCCAATGTATCCAAAAAAATTCCTTTTTGTACCATAAAAGACAAAAAAAAATCCTTCAATATTGATTCTAGTTCAGTTTTTTTAATGTTCTCTCCTCCTTTTTAAAATTAAAAATAAATTAAATGAGAATTAATTTAAAATAAATTTAACTATTCAAGTTAAAACTAGTTAAAACTAATTAAAAAATAATGTGATTTTATATATTAGTCTATCTTAAATTATTTTAATCTATTATTCAAAAAAAAAAAAATATTTTAATCTAGTTTGAAAATATATTAAAATATTCCACAATAGATGATCGAGATAGATTGAATATTTTTACAATTATTTTTTGAGTAAATACTTTTTTGGGTTCCTAACAAAAAACACGGTCTCCACTTTAGTCCCTTACAAAAAACAATTAGTCAGTTGGTCCCTAACAAATTCAAAGTGGACCCATTTTAGTCCTTTTGAGGGACTAATATGGGTCTTTTTTGAAATTGTGAGGGACCACGATTTCAACTAAATGGGTCCACTTTGAATTTGTTAGAGACCAACTGACTAATTTTTTTTTGTAAGGGACTAAAGTGGGACCGTATTTTTTGTTAGGGACCAAAAAGAGTATTTACTCTTATTTTTTTTATAAAATCTATTTTATGTAAATTGTAATTTATTAGGTGGAAATAGATGAAAACATTCCATCAAATAATTTTAAAAAAAAAAACTATTTTTCAATTTCTTGCTTAATGTGATTATAAGAAATTAACATGTTCTATGCTTTATTCTATTTTAATATGAATCAGTCTCTAAAAATTAATTTTTTTCCAACACCGTATATCATTTGTTACTACTTTTTTTATATATACTTCTAAAGAAGATTGAATCCATATTATCTACTATAAAACTTGACTAAGATGACATATTGTGGGTAAAATTTTGAAGTCATTAGTTAAGATGTTTTTTATCTTTTAAAGTCTAAATATAAAGACGTGGGAAAAAAATTGTATTATAAAGGAACCAAAAGAATTATTTTTTAAAATTAGTTTCAAAATGGAATCAATTTAAATTTTTGGATCTCAACTGATTCAGGAATTGAATCAAAACTCTCCGCGCAAACAAACAAGATTACAAAACATTTAGTTGGATTGCAAAAATGACGTAGGAACCTAAACCTTTTTTTTTTTTTTTTAAGCATTTGATACGAAAGATTTTGACATCTAAATTGGTATATCTGAGGAAGAAACAACTCATAATGTCTCAACAGCAACCTCAATTGTCTGAACCACTGGTAAGTCCTGAATCTTCTGTTTCTAATTCTAATATTATTGCCTCTTATGATTTACTTATTTCTTCTGATATCTCTGATGACTTACCCATTGCATCTGCTTCTGATGACTTACCTATTGTCCTAAGAAAAGGGATTATTCTCATTCCAATAAACCCTTTTTATTCTCATTCCAATTCTTTCTCCTTCTCCGTTCACAATTTTACATTCGCGACATTCCCAAAATATTGAAAATTTAATTTACGTTGTTGGAAATAAAATAATAATAATAACAAGAATGCAGAAGATTCAATTAAATTTTAAAACAAAAATATATATTCACTCTCCCATGTATTACATAATTTCACTCAATAAAAAGAAAAAAATTACGACCACGTGATTTCTTATACTTATATTAAATAGGAAAAAAGATGGCAAGAAAATGATTGCGTTCATAGATTCCTAATATAACATAGTCATATTCCCTTAAAACCAAATTAATAGGGGGAGAAATAGAAAAGATATTTTTTAATAAGATATTATGTTATTAAAAAATAAAAATCAAGCCCCAAGGCAAGCCAAACCTTTTAAAATAAATTTTTAGACTAATTTTTAAAGAAGTCTTTTAATAAACTCAAATCTATATTATTTTTAAAACGAATCATACTAAATATGATCAAAGACAGATCAGGGTGTAAGCTCCTAATATATCATCCTATCCATTTATATCCCTAATTAAGTCTCTTAAAATTGTATGTCATCCATCCAATGCTATCCATAAATGATGTCTCTCTCAGTGTTACAAAATCGGACCGGACCGGCCAATTCGAACCGAAAACCAATAAATCAGCATGTCACCGGTCCGGGTAACATATCAGATCGGACATGTTAATGAACTAGTGTGAATCGGGTTGAATTGACCGAGTTTCATTAAAATCGGTGACCAACCGGTTCAGAAAATTTAGCCGGCCATAAAAGTTACCCAAATTTCTACCATGTTTCCTCGCCTTTTCTTCAAGATCGTGACATTCACAGATATGGCTTTCTTCATGATAGTATTTTTTCTCGCTTCGAAGCTTTCTCTTCCTGTTTCATCTGTGCTTTTCTAAGTCATTATACACCATCCCCGAAGACAAGGAACAGAAAAATAATAAGAAAAATAATATATTAAAGTAATAGTAGCGAAAACGAGTATGAAAAGACCGTGAACTTCGTTTTAATTTAGGGGTGTGTTGGATTAAGATTTTAAAAGATTTTTTTGAGCTAAAAAATCTTATAGATTTTAAAAGACTATTTAGAATTGGAGAGACTTTAAAGACTTTTTTTACAATCAAGAATTCATAAGATTGGATTTTAAAGGATTTTAATAGAATTTATAAGATTTGAAAGGACAATATGGATTTATAAGATTTTAAAAAATATATGAATTTTAACAAACATTCAAAATTACAAGAGTCAATTAAAAAGAAAAAGGTTATACTTACAACCTATTTTTGTTTACAGCATTTTACAATCATATCTTAACCGTTAATTTCCGTCAACCAACGGTTATCATTCATTGCAAATTAAATATTAATTAATGAGTTTGATTTGCGAAAATAATAATCGTTGATTGACAAAAATAAACGGTTAAAATATGGTTGTAAAAGGTTGTAAACAAAAATATGTTGTAAGTATAATCTTCCCCATAAAAAAAATAACAAAGAAATGCAATGAAATTAATAAAAAAAAGTGAAATCGAATATAATTGTCTCAATCTGCAAAACATAATATAATTTTAACAAACATTCAAAATTACTAAATAACAACTTTTCACATATCTAATGGTTGAAAATTATTTTCTTCATTTGGTATCAAAGTTCATGATAATATTTCGTTTGGAATTTTTTGCAATTGATCTTGAAAACCTTGGAGTTTTTATTTTATGTGATGAGAGTTTTTTAATCATATATCATATGCATATTTTTATTGAATATTCAAAGAAAATATCGAATCTGAAATTTTGAGTTTAATTACATGAAAGTTTAAATTTTTTTCAAATTTTTTGGTTTAATTACATGAAAGCTTGTTTCTCAAAAAAATTTCAATCGATATATTGAAACCTTAAATTGCTTTGAGGCTTTTGAGAAACAAACTTTTAGTTACCTATTGACACAAGAAATTATTTGAAATCATTTCCTACAGTGAAAGAATTTCGTTTATGAATGTATTGTTACGAAATATAAGGTTCATATTATGAAAGTTTTAATCTTTCTTTAAATTGATATTGTTTCATTGATGTAAAACGAAAATTGGTTTGAGAGTTTTAGTTTCCGTGTTATTTTTTCACTGTTTTATGTTATTATTAATACAAAAATCACACGTTTTTTTGCCAAGAAAAATCCCGACCCATAGCTTGAAAAATCACTTTTTAAACTTCCAAATTTTCTCAAAAAAGGCTAAAAAATATGTTATTTTTGAGATAGATTATATTAAAATCTCGTTGATTTATTGTTTCTGAGTTGCTTTGTGATGATAATCGCTCAAAAATTTGCTTTTTTTCTTTTAGTTTTGACGAAGCTCCCATGACGGAACCCAATTTCGAGCAGTCAACTTGCCAAAGAAAGAAGAAAATACTGCAATAGAAGAATCTCAAGAAATCCAAGGGATTAGGGTGAGATTGTGAGAGAGGCATCCTATTTATATTTTTCACTAAAAAGTCTCATGAAATCCACACCAATAGAAAATCCATTAAAATTGTCGAATTTTTGAATACCACGATATTGTGATTTCATTGTTTAAAATTCTGATTGAATACCAACGGATTTGGAAGGATTCTAAAATAATTCTTTAAAATCCTAATCGAATACCAACAGATTTTTTTGTCCAAAAATAATTCATTAAAATCCTTTGAAATCTCAATCGAATACACCCCCCTTAGTCGGTCTATCTTTCATGTTTTTCAAAAAATATTTAATTAATTCATTAATAGAGAACATGTCTATTTTACATTAAAAATCGAAAAGGTTTTTCTTTAAAAGAAAAAGTTATTAATTTCTCGTCAACCAATAATGAAAAAGCAATCGATGAAGAATGTGCACAAAAAATTTATTAATTTCTGAATTTTATTTATATTTTCTTAATATATACCATTTTTCTTATTAAACAACTTTATTTTTATTAATTAATTTATTTATTATAATATGTTCATTTTATTAATATTTGTATTATTAATAAAGAAGATTTTCTATATTTTCTTGTAATTTATAAATAAAGAAGTAACATTTCACTTATCATTTTAAATGTACAATATTTTTCTTCTCATCTCCAACCTTTCATTAATTAATTTTTGTACTTGTGTTATTTATTTTTTAGACATCAATATTAGAATGTTTTTCTTCTCATTTCACAAAAAATGACAAAAATATGCATCAGTATATTCACTATATGTGTGATTTATTATTTTTCATATTAGAATATTTAGAATTATTATTATTTTTTACAAATATTTAAGTATATCTACAACTTTTTAATATAATTATATATTTACATAATTTACGAGATCATGCAGTTAACCCAATGACCCACTGATTGAACCAGTAACACAATACCTCAACTGAGTTAATGATCAGACTGAGTTTAATAACATTGGTCTCTCTCTTTCTCCCGTGTTGTTTTCCCTTTCTCCAACACAAATAGTGTATCCATAACGTATATGGCAAAAAAAAATGTGGGAAGAGAATTTTCTTCTGATGCACCAGGTATATTTAAGAGATTAAATTGCAGAATTTAAATAAAAATTATAAATATCAATTTTCACTCTTATTAATTATTATTGATTAATACTTACAATCAAAATTATAATACCCAAATTCTATAATATCATAATTCTATAATATCAATGTTTGTAGGAAAAGCACATCACTAATTCAAATTTGAAAGAAATTCAAGGAAAATTACCAGCTTTCATTTGGTTTTTCCCCCTCGCATCAACTACTCATCTCAGTTAATTGGGTGGGTCCGCAATCAGTAGACAAAATGAGCAAATGCAACCCGGTGGTCATCATTAATCTGAAAATATAACTCATCTCTCACTTGGGCTTTTGCTTCAAAAGTCCCGAAAGGGAAGCACAGTGAGTTGAATTATAATCGCGTTTCGCACAACAGGAGTCCAGCAACTCAATGACTTTAAGGCACCTGCACAGTATAAATGCAGTTATAAGAAACCTTCTAAAAACAACTCAGTATGTAAGAAATTACGTGCAATAGGATTAACGATTGTCAGAACTTGTTAAGCAATACTGCATCCGAACAAACACACTGCCCACTCTCAATACAAACCCTATTCAAGGTCGAGAGGACACAACTGCAATCAAAAGCATATTAGTGGACCCCAAGTCCCAAACTAAATTTAAAGCTAGGCAAAACAGTCAAGTATTTGGTTTGTTTTCAATTTTTTATTTTTATTCATTATGTTTGCGTTAATAATTATAAAAGACTCTTGTAAACCCTATAAAATGAAGGTGCCACTTGATACTGATTTTTTTGTTGAAAACACTTAAAATTGAGGAATTGTGTGTCAAGTATAACCACACAAGAATTATATTTAGAATAATAAAATATATGGATTTGAGCAAGCAATAGTCCAAGTCATAAGAGGAAGAAATGGAAGAACAACTCTGAGCACATGGGGAATCAAAAGAGTCAGAGAAAAGTGTGTCCAAGAGACCAATATCCCTGCAATGGTCGGCCAGATCCATGCTAATTGGTAACCCCCCTCAAGTTGAATAAGATCACCCCCTCTCCCAAGCATTCGTCGTATTCATATGACGGTGGAAATATGTTTTTTGGGAGAGGAAATATTCAGCCGACCCAAGTGGCAGAACGGCAGAACACAGGAGAAAGGATGGCCACCTCTTCCCTTTTTACTGCTATTCTCCCACCTCTGTACCACGAAACCCTATGTTGTGACCCACGTGTGATGGGGAAGGAGACCCTTAAGCCCAAAAGTTCAGGAGTCCTCCCGTAAGGTCTCCTACTACTACCCTCACCATAACATTAGCTTTTTTTCTATTTCCAAATCAGAAAAGAAAAAGGAAAATAACCAAAAAATGAGGACGACTACTACTACCCTCACCATAACATTAGCTTTTTTTTTATTTCCAAACCAGAAAAGAAAAAGAAAAATAACGAAAAAATAAAAAATAATAATAAGAGAGACACAAGAGAACTGTTTGTGAAACTAAGGGTGTGTATGACAATCTTCCAAGAATCAGTTTTTTTTTTCAATTTTTGTTTCCGGGAACAAAAATAGATAAAAACAGTGTTTGACAAAACCATTTTATTTTTTTGTTCCCAAGAATAAACCGGTTCAATTTCTGTGCTAGGGAACAGAAAAAAAAAATCAAAAAATTTATGCTTTTTTGGTTTTCGGGCACAAAATGAGAAACACTTGTTTTTCTCAATCACTCTCCACTACTACCATCATCATCACCACCACCACCACCATTCCGACACAACCACCGCCACCATCGTTGCCGCCATCATCGTACCACCACACTGTCGTCACCACCACGATGCCACCGTCACCATCACCACCACCTCCACGCCACCGTCACCACTACTACAAATTATAATTGAATATTACGATATAGACATTATATATCCCTAATGCTTGCATAATAGATTTACAACCATGATTTGGTTTAACTGTTTGTGTGTCCATCTGCAAGTGTTAACATTCCTTGGGGGAGTCATGTTAGAGAAGCAGATAGTAGTTGTCTGTTCTAATTTGGTATGTCTTGTACCTCAAATTAAGTTAGTGATTATCTTGTGGCATTGATTAAGCATTTTGTGTTCAGTGTTTGGGGGAGTTTTGTGTTCTAGTGTTCAACGTTTTAGGTTATACACTTGTTATTAATCACAATTAGGATTATCAGTTTCTCATTTGTATCTATTTTAATTGTATTATTCAGATGCCTTGTACATAGACGACTTCCACACATGAAAAAATCAATGTTTTATTTGCAGAAAATAAGTCAAAAGATTCACCATAATTAGCAAAATCAGCACATAGTGTGTGTCCCTGAAGTTCTGGGAACCATATTTAGAACACTGTTCAATCACTCAATAGGAATTGTTGTTCAATGACTAACTGCAAAGTGTTGCTCAGAACACATTATCAGGTAATTTTCTTGTCCTCTCTATCCCCCTCTTATTATGTGTGCAATTCTACACTTATTTTCTGAAGTCTGAATTCTGAACCCAAAATGCCTATTGTGATTATGAGTTTACTTAGGAATACTACGCATCCTATTAGGCAATATTTTCTCTCCTTGACTTAAGTGGAAAGAGTTCTGCTTGCTGGGAGTTGCCGCAATTTGGAAAAATTGTTACAAAGATGAATGTGGAAACAGACTTGCGTAATACCTATAATTTAGATTATTTATTGATATTCTTATGGGATTGGGGAAGAAGGAGGTGCACATCTCTGGGACCAAAATGAAAGTTTCCTGGCTGCATAAGCTCTCTATTCTTATCCATTAGTTGGAATCAATTAATCCTTAATCAATACTAGTCCCTGTTATATGACTGCCTTAGAATCAACATTAATTCTTAAACAAAATGAAAGTGTGGAAGTAAGGACAATTCAAAATCCACCCTAAGATGTTTTACTGGAGGCTACATTCATGCTATCAGTGTACTTAATTTTTGAGCAAAAAATATACTAAATTGATAAATGTGGTCAGGTCGTACAATCATCAAATTAAAATATATTTATCTACAAATCAGTATACAATAACAAGTCATCTAGTGGGCAGGAATCTGCATGTTGAGACTTTAGGAAACAGATTTTCTTACTTGTAGAATTTTTTAAATAACTCTTTTTTTTTAGGATAACTGATAGAGACCCACACAAGATTAAGGGTATCGTACAATGCATTACATGGGATATGGTTATCCTATCTAATGGTGAAAATCAGCAAGCAACCAATTGGCAAAGAATATTCTAGAATTGCCTCAACATAATTCAGTTAGGGGAATTGGACTTGGCGGGAGAGGAGAAGGATAAGTAGAGAGAGCATGGAAAGTGTTTAGCATCAGAAATCTTGGGCTTGGTATTGTAACTTGGGAGAGACCAGTAGCCTCTCTAATTGCTCTGGGATATCTTTTTATTTCAGGTCTTTAATTTTCCTTTTAGCTCTTAATTTTCTGCAACCTGTAATTTCTTGTTGAACCAATACTTGAAAATATCAATTTCTCTGTTGTTTCATATTTTCCCTTAATTCCTTGTTGGTTTGTACAATAACATGCTTCAATCACTTGATACATGGCTTAGCTTCTTCTGACATTAGTATTGCCCTATATATGGCTCACCTAATTGTCCTTTTAATATACATTAATAAAAATAACCTTAGTTTTGAGTTGGATGCAGGTTTTCTTTCCGTTGGAGTTGAGGTTACTATAGTATATCCTGTTTAATTGAAACCTCTACATTATTATTTACGGCATTATTGAGAATGGGTGCAAATATGCAATGCAATGCCTATTTTCCGGGATATTATTCAACAAGGGATCTCATCTCTGACTCCGAAGGCAGCATATGACCTCATCTAATGTTAATAACAAACTAAGGAATGAATGCAACCACATGGGTTCCGAGCCTGCATCATCACCTTGTAACTTCTGAAACAGACAATTCTCAAGCATGAAGTCAAATTTAGGGACCAAGTATGTTAACTTCACGATTCCTATTCTTAGATCAAATTCTCCCTATGTTTTCTGTCTAATTATTAGTTTTAGTCCAATCAAAATTATTTTGAAAACAAATCACTATTAATTCATTTTACTACCATTCTTAGTTCCTTGCTTATTGTAGTTTGTTATTTCAGACAATGTGGCTCTCTATTAATCTTGGATACTCTCCAAATGCTTAAGTATTTTTAAGTCTCTGAACTGTGCATTGCTCTTCAAATTCATGAGCTAAACAGAGGGAATTAATTGTCCCGGCTCAAAACTGGTTTTGATTTAGACCTGTTCAAAACCAGTTTGAACAGGTTCAAAAGGAGTTCAAAACTGATCCAAAACCTCAACTGATTTTGAACAGGTTATGAACTGGTCCAGACGGATTTTGAACAGGTTTTGAACCAAAAACCTCAGTTTTAAGCAGGTTTGGGAAAAGACAAAACCGTTACGGTCTGAACAGGAACATGCACATCCTTACTGTGAGAAAACTTAGAAGACGAAATTTCAGTAAGAACGAACCATCAGAACGGAAAGAAACATGAAACTCATGAAAGATGTGATAACGATTCATCAGTCAGGGATGGCATAAGGAATAGACATATGGGAATTCAATTCCTTAGTGCAAGCATATAAATGGTTTCCAAGTTCAAGAATCGAATAATAATTCAGGTGGAAACAATATTATGATCCCACGACCGAGTTCAAGTCAGGAAGAAAACACAATTAGATATGTCGAAAACCAAACAAAAGAGAACAAAATATCGCAGAACGTAAATAGGAGAAAAAGTTGCATACTTTTGTGGGAGAAAGTTGTTCTTGGAGAGGCAAGCTTGAATGTCACATGCCTCTTTCTTGCAGGGCTCCTTGCTTGGCTGCGGCATCTCTCACAAAGAGAGACAGCTATGGCTATTGGCCTATGCCCTTCGGCCTTTCTCATAAATACACGCATTCACGCTCCAACAAATAGTCTCTGCCTTTAATCATGTAGGGCTCGGGTTAGCTTTTTTGTTAATTCACATTCGGATCTGGGTCGGGTTATCAAGATAGTGTATAATTATATTTTTTAAAATATAAAAAAAATGAGAAAATTAGTTTGATTGTGTTTTTAGTTATTTTATAAGAAATTTTAAGAAAAAAACTATATTTAGAAAAAAATAAATTCAATAACATTATCTTCGAAAATAGTTTTATCATCCTTAAATGCCTCTCCTGCATCAGTTATTGTTGGCCACAATTTCTTCACAGCCATGATATTAAAACTTATAATTATTAAAAATTATTAAGAGTTTAAACATTATAATTCTTTATTAAAATTTATTAGAACCTATTTGTGTCATTATAATAATACTTTTTCACAAAACATTTATAGACATGGATTTATTCAATATATATAGAGAGAGGCATGATCATTTGACACTAGTATCAAACTAAAAAATTTGACAATAAATCTTAACTGTTTATTTAGTGAATCTAATGGTTATAATTTATTTAATCTTATTTATTAATTAATTATAACCATTAGATTGGCAAAATTATTGGTTAAGATTTGGTGTCAAAGTTTTTAATATAAATAGAAAACCAAAAACTAATGTCTTAAAGTTCAAATTTGTTGATACATTTCTTGGTAAACAACATTATTAGTTTTTTTTACGTGAATTTACATTTACTCGATTTCATTAAGCGGATAATCATGTCGGCATGACATGGAATAAAATTCTTTCAAAGATCTTCCATTTGAATTAAGCAATCTTTCTATTTCAATCAAACAGAGATTTTTTAAGTCTGAAGTAGCAATTAAAAGATCTACAGAGAAAAAGGAAGCAATATCATTATCCATTTGATGAGACTGTTGTCTATTGAAAAAAAAAACTATCTGAAGAAGTTATTTAAATTTGCGTACCTTGATTTTGTAAAAATCTCCTTTGGTTATACAATATTCCATCTACCGAGTAATCTGATGTTTGTTCCCAAACATGTTCTGGTATACTCATTGTGTTTGACACAAGTAACGTAACAAATAGCTTTATAAATTAATTCCCATATGCCAATTATGCAACTTCTTTTATACCATCAACAAACTCTTTATCATCTTCCAACAATCCCAGAGCATAGCATACTTCTTGAAATGAGTTGTGCTTGAAGTTATTAACTATCTGTATATCCTCAGAAGTTGTGCAACCTCGTTGAACAGTCAACAAAAGTCTCATGTAGTACAGCTCCTTGGATCCTACAGGAACACATTGTAATCTTCCTATTGATTGGCCTTGCTCTCTATGATGTCATTCATGCATCTCCCTATTGTAAATGAATTTGCTGGGAAATTTTGCATAGGTTTATTCTTTTCCATCAGAGTATAATTTGTTTGCTTCCATTCAAGCCTCAAAGATTGTCTTCTTTTCCTTGTGTCTAAGCACCACATCATCCATGTGTTTGTGATCCTTGAATAACACTAATTGTTGTTTAGGTAGATGCAAGTTCAATCTGATAACATGAGGCCACTTATGATGTATATCAAATGCAAAAATCCTCCAAGCAGCTTCACACGTAGATAAGTATCGACAATCATAATAATGCTTAATTTCATCCACAACGTCAGAATTAGCAATATCACCTAATTCGTGTAGGACGGTGGCAGAGACTCTGTCAAGACCCTTATTCACATACCTGAAGAGATACATGCTAGAATTAGACTTATTACATACCTATATATTGATGTGTGCTTGATACTTCATTAGTAAGTTAGGATTGTAAGGAACAACGTACCTATTATCCAATTCAATACCTTTCTTTATGGTTTTCCTTTCTGTATTCCTTCTTCTATATACGGGATAACTGTCTTCATCAAATGAAGTGTTATCAACAAACTTCTTAGGAAAGAACTTCAAGCATCTACCTTCCTTCATGCATTATGAGTTGGGATTCTCTAGACCACATGGACCATGCATCATGAATTTAGTCACTGCCTAAAACAATCAAGAGTTTTTATCTTTATCTGTTAACTCAGCCGATATAACTCTGTCAAACATATCAGCAGTTTGTAGCTTGTCTTCTGGGTGTAGCCACAACAAAATATGAGCATGAGGCAATCCTTTCTTATAAAACTATATTGTATACATTCCTACATCATAAATTTAAATAATAGATTAACTTATTCATTTTGAACATGATTAACTCTACATACTAAGAATGACAGGGGTAAGTTACAAGTTGTTGCAGTTAGGATTTTAACTTTACCTGCCACAACATTGCCAAAGAAGCATCTTTTCTTGAAGTCAATCATTATGTGATTTAGTTTCAATTGGAATACCCAACAAGAAATATATGGATGATCATCTGATTTGATTCTTCTTTTTGCATATAAAATAAATTGATTTTTCCAAACATACTTTTTAAACATTTTTCTTCCTTAGACTAAAAATATAAGAAAAAATATGTTTGTAAATATTATAATGCACAACTTAATTTATGTATCATCCCACTGTTATAAAACTCGGACCAGACCGGTCGGTTTGAACCAGTAAACCGGCCATGTGATTGGTTCAAGTAAAGTAATGGATCAGAAATGCAAGTGACTAGGTGTGAACCAGCTGATTTTGCTAAAATCGGTGACTCGCCGAGTCAAAAATAAACAAAAAAAACTTCTTTGAGATGAAACTGAGCCTCCTATACATAAAGAAGAAGAAGAAAGATAATAGACACAACAAATAAGAAGAAGAAGAAAAAGGAGTCGAAGCGATGAAGCAGTAGTCCTCTACAAAGAGCGTCATTCGATGGGCCATTGAAGAGAGAGTGAAAGACACAAAATCATCTTCCATGTCCGTCGAATAAAAAGAAACTGAGAGAAAAAAATTTAGTTTTGTTACTTCTTCTTTTTTCTTGGAAACGTACATGAAAAGAAAAGCAAAACACAAAATATGGCTTTAGCTACAAAGTCTTAGGCCAGCAGACTCTGTTTCGTTACTGTCTATGCTCAGCCACTCATTTCTGATCTCCTCTTTTTCAATTTTTTACTTTTTAAATTTACAATTTTAATTTCTACTATTTTCACTTTCTTTAATTATGACTTACATGGGTAGTGTTTTTGTTTTTATTTGTTTGCTTTTGATCCCACCAAAATATTTAGAAAAAAATGGAAATTTTGATCCCACCAAAATATTTGTTTCTTCTAAGTAATATCTGCTAGAAACCAGCTCATTAGTAATTGCAACCTCCACACATTGTCCTCCTCAACATAATCCCACAACTTCCTCCTTCGGAATGGTGTTAACTGTAACACCCTGTATATATCCGGTAATGTTAACATACTATCGTATTAAGCTGCGCTTAATTAAAAATGCGAAATATCTTTTTCTTTTCAATTATGAAGTCATTATCATTACCAACTTGCTTATTAATCAGTTAATAAAACATCGCCTGTATGCAATTGCAATAAAACAGCTAACTGAAATACCTCATTAATTAAAAATAACATAAAGTATGTCTCTAGTCACGGAACTACAACAGGTAGACCGGACCACTAGAAGTTTATACAACTCGACTCAAAAGTACTAACAACATAGTGGCATGGACAACTCTCATGCTCACCCAAATAAGGCAACAAAGCTCAACATAAGTCTCAACTCAAAACATAAAGAGCAGAAAACATAAACAGCATCCAATCCGGTCATGTCAGCAATACAACATAAATATCATAATCAGCTAAGCTTTGGCCTCCTGCCGCCAGAGGCATCAGTCACCATACTACCTGAACCTGAAATAAGCATTCCCCAAACGTGGGGTGAGATCTCTAAACAAGAAATCTCAGTAAGACAAAGGGTCCTCAAGGATCTTCCACCCTAAGCTCACTTACATGTGCAATATAAGTTCAAAAGCAGTTTATCATCATCAGTTCTGAAATAGTGCAATGCAGCAGATAATCATGTCATGTGTGTCAATTCTATTCTACCGGCCAGAGAAATGCATGATTTATATACGTCTAATACCCACAATTAGTGCAAGATACTACTTGCATCCACCCCGGATCACCGTCTTGTATGACGCTACATACTCAGGCTTACCGTCAAGATGGAACAACACATGCATATTAAAATCCATTAACACATAAAGCTCAACAACATTTCATATATCAAAAGCATGTAACACAGCATGCATATAACCATACCCCCAAGGGACATGGTGGAACCACAACATGGCTAAACCGAGGACACGAAAGCTTACCTTGCAAGCTAATACCCAAAGCCAAGAGTCCACAGCTCAAAGTCCAAACACAGCAGATTCACAATCTGTTATGGACCAATAATACATTAATAAACATGCACCGCAAGCATACAATATTAAGACAACGTCTTTCCATTACATTTTACGTCTTAAGGCTTCACACAAGCCATAAGCCCTTAATCATATGATTCTGACTTACATTAATTAATTACAGAAGTTCAACTTCCTCAAACTAGGGTCCACAAACCCATAGATCAGTTCTAGATGAACAGTACGCTATTGTTCCTCGCAAACCCATAATATCCAGATATTCCTCGGGGACATATCCGGATATGCAATATCCGGATATCTCACAGGCAATATCCGGATATCCAATATCTGAATATCACTCTGGCAATATCCGGATATTCATATTCGGATATCCAGATTTCCATATCCGGATATCCATATACGGATATCCAGATTTCCATATCCGGATATCTATATGCGGATATCCATATCCGGATATTCCACGACAATATCCGGATATTTCGCGACAGAATGCAGTTTCTGCATTTCGCGAAGATATCCTTCCAAGGTTCCATTTTTAAGACTTCCAGAAGCTTAAACATGCATCTTAAGGTCCATTTAGCTTCCTATTACAGTTGGTTACTTGTTTAATTCATTAAACATGCCAAGACTTCATCTTTAAGCAACAAAACTCAAGACCAAGGTTGGT